ATCCGTCTAAGGAACAGGTATGAGATGTCCTACATTGCCCAAAAAAACCAGTCTAGCTAGCACTGGTTTACATTTTTTTAATTTTAAATTTTTGAATTTCTAAAATGAGGGAGATTTAGACTAAATTTTGTAACCTTTCTTTTTTTGCTCAGTTTTATTCTATAGTATTCTATTAACCTGTGAGAAAAAGCTGATTTCATCCCTAAGGTAAGCTTATCCCATGAGATAGGCATCACCCTAATAAGAAATACAATGAGGGGGAAATAGTGTTCTCCTTGTCATAGTTTACTCCCCGAGAGTGATAAAAATATCACCTGATCTAATTATATCCATTTATGCCAGCAATTCATATACAAATCTTCCACTGATTTAAATAGGAGTGACATATAGTTTCATTTATTAATTATTTGTATTACAGTAGCACTCAGAGGCTACAACTGAGAGCAGGGCCCCTTTGTGCGAGGCATTCTACATACACACTGTAAGAGACATGCCTTTAACTGAACTTACAGTCTAAGACGACAATAGCAGGGCCAAGCCTAAATGAAGCTTTACTTCAACTTGGAATGGTTTACATGAAATTGGACTGTGATTTTTTTAAGCCTTCATGCTTTTCTTACTTTTTAAATAAAAGTGGTTTAAAAGCTGAAGACTTTGGCCTGGTCCACACTAATCCCCCACTTCGGACTAAGGTACGCAAATTCAGCTACGTTAATAACATAGCTGAATTCAAAGTACCTTAGTCCGAACTTACCGCGGGTCCAGACGCGGCAGGCAGGCTCCCCCGTCGATGCTGCGTACTCCTCTCGCCGAGCTGGAGTACCAGCGTCGATGGCGAGCACTTCCGGGATCGATCCGGGATCGATTTCTCGCGTCTAGACAAGACGCAATAAATCGATCCCAGAAGATCGATTGCCTGCCGCCGAACCAGGAAGTAAGTGTAGACGTACCCTTTAAAACAAATTTTCCCCAATCACAAAATTCTAAATTTCTCGGACAGTTGTGTCACTGCTATTATGTACCAATCAAATGATCACTTGGTCATTCAAGTGGCCCCTGTCAACCTTCAGAGTGAACAAGACTACTTTTTATTAATTATTTTTATTAATAATTGTAAGCAAATGCAATCTTTGTGTGATATTAATAGCTTAGGAGACAAATACTCTGGTTAGGCAAAGAACATGCATAGCACATGGAGCAGTAATATCCTCTTCCATACACTCCATCAACAACGTTCCTCAACGTTCCTCTGGAAGGACAGCACCTTGGATTGAGAGCACAGTTTAATCACCATGTCAACTCAGTGTTTGGCCACTTGAAACAGCCAATAAGGGTGATGCTTAATTTCTGCTGACTGTGGCAGTGGTTTTTGTGTTCCAGTCCGTCCAGTTGGAATTGGGCTGAAACTACCAACTCGTTTCACATAAACCCTCCAAATTAAGACCATACTGTGCCAGTTGGTCCAAATTCTGATTTCCAATGACCATTTAATACATATTCCCTCCGTTCCTTTAGCACTACAGATTGTTCTAACATTGTTATAAAAGAATCCAGTGAAAAGAAAAGCAATAGGGAAAGTTCCTATTGGCCTTTAAGTCTATGAGTAAGTGATTATACACTTGTTAAACATCATACAATAGTTTTCTCCTTACTACCTGAGCAAGATGTTGCAGCAATGCACTGTCTGTACCTAGATGGATTAACCAGCAGTACAGATTTTTTTTTTCAAGTAATATTTAAAATGGATTGTCTGCTAAGCTACATGTCTCATATCCCTCTACACTTAAATGTGCCTAAAGTACTTACATTTTTAAAAAGATATATTCAAAATGTACTTTCTGAGATCACAATTCCATAGCTTTCCTCTTAAGCTAAACTTTGCTCCTCCTGTATTCTCAGAACTGTTACTGTTAGGTCTTGTCTATACAGGAAAATTGACACAGGGATAGCTATTGTAGATGAACTATTCTGAAATAGCCCCTATGTGGACACACTATTCTGAAATAAAAGTCACTGTATTCTGGATACATTATTTAACCACAAGTAATTCTTTCGTAACAATGTGATTTTTATTCCAGATTTAAAGTGCCCACATGGAGAGCTATACTGGAATATATCTATTCCAGTCAATTGCCCAGTGTAGACAAGGCCTGCCTATTAGTAACTCAGGAAAAAAAAGATTTTCACAAATTGCTGTAAATGAATGACTGGCTATTAAATAACCTATTAAAGGATTCTGACTGGTGGCTGTTCAGAGGCTGACTAATCTGTTCCAGTATCTAGCTTTTACAGTATGCATGCAATGGGCTCCTTTGATGACTCAAACTCTTCTAGAACTGAGGTTAAAAAGAGAGAACCTAACTGCACAGGAAAATATGCAATTACAAGAATGTGCTCCTACTGCATAAAGCCACAGACACAATAAAATACATAATAGAAGGATCCTGTAGGCTTAAAAGCTTAATTTCTAGAATTAACATCTACATTTTTAAACATACATAAAATAATATCACTTTCACATCATGGAATACAGCCCTAACACACTCAAGCCCAGTCAACACAAACCTTTAACCTGTGGATGTTAAAGGTCTGTACCAGATAATAAGGAGGACAGTCTATATTCTTTGTGAGGTGAGTCTTGCATGAAAGTTTTGATAGAGCAATAAAAATAGTACCCAGAAAATAAAACATTGGGTTTCAGAGATGAGAACAAAGGCTCTTTTGAGAAATTGAAAATCTTGGTGATGACAAGTTCCACCAATAGACAGGGAGGTAACAAAATAAACCTTCTACTCATCACGGAGTAGTCAAAAGAGACTTTCCTAGAAGAGAAGGAAAAAATTCTAAGTAGGAAAACTAAACCGGTCAGTGCATTAGCTACATTACCAAGGTCCAAAAGGTTTATATTTACTTGTACACATCAGGTGTATCTGCCTGAACACTGAGTAACCTCCAGGCACAAAAATGTTCAAAATTACTTCAGTTATAATACAAACACACATTTATCACGTTCTTGTGTGTCCCCTTTGCAAACTCATCTTACTGTAAATAAATTTGAAAGGTCATTAGAGTTGTATTTTCTATCCTGGTTCATCCCCTATATGGGGTCCATAGCTTAAATAGGTTTTCTGAAACAAGTTTTCATAATATAATCTACAGCACTTGAGTGAAAACATCCTGTACGGCTATCAGCAATATTACTGAGAGAACTGTAAATTGGTTGATATCTCTAGTCATGTGATTAGTAGGCTCATTCAGACAAGAGACTGAAAATATAGGTCTCAAAGTAGGAATTGCTCTGATTACTATGATAAGGCATATATTTTAGTTAGTGACAGATCCTCAGTAGGGCTGGTCTTAAATGTATTACAGAGCTTTAGGGAGACAAGGTGGGTAAAGTAATATCTTTAATTAGACCAACTTCTGTTGGGGGGAGAGAGGCTTTTGAGCTTAGGCAGAGCTCTTCTTCAGGTCTGGGAAAGGTACTTGTGTCACAGCTAAAAACAAGGTGGAACAGATTGTTTAGCTTAAGTAGTTAACATATATTTCAAGGGGCCATTTAAGGTAAAGTGGCCCTTTAACACTCCTCCAGTCATAGGGAGGAAGGGAAGGGGGGAAAGCAGCTGGGAGGGGGGTCGTTAGTGGGATAAAGAGAGCATTGTAGTAGCCCATAAATCCAGTGTGTCTATTCAGTCCATGATTTTTAGTATCTAGCAAAGTTATGAATTTAAGCTCCCAAGTTCGTCTTTTGAAAGTGTTGTGCAGATTTCCTTTGAGCTTTGACATAATATGATGTTATTGCTGATAATGCCTAGGCCATTTCAGCTGATGGCCACCTTACTATTCTAATTTTTGGAGGGTATGTGCCAAGAAGAGAGCCATTCTGCTAGACGTAACTTTAGTCTGTCTCAAAGATTTTTGATGTATTATTACACAGTGGCTAGGGGAGTAAAAGGATCAGATCCTATCAGACCACAGGTAAGACAGCTAGGAGATTCCTATTCTCTTTATTCAGACCGTGCGTGCGTGCGAGACATACAGAGGCTATATTCAGTGTCCCTTAACATCTTTAGATCAATCCTCAGTTATTCAAACACAAGACCAAATAAAGTAATTTGTCGACTTGCTTTTGGTGATCCGTTATCAGAGCTATGTCAGTACTCTAGAAAAAGGGAAGCTATCTCACAGGTGCATACAATTCTAGCCACTCTTTCATCAAGTGCTATGGTGATCTCTCTACCTCTACAAATACACGTTTTTGATACCTTTCATTCATGTGTGCTCTCTTTCCCATTGGCTGCTGCCATGCACTTTCTATATGTGTGAACTGATGCATCTGACGAAGAGAAGGGGGGATTCATCTTTTATTGGAAAATCTGTGGTTTGGGAACCTACCCAACTAATTCAGAAATCTTTCCCTTTATCTAACGTTTTTAAGAAAAAATTAATTTCCTTATTTATTTAAAAGAAATCAAGCTATATAAGATATTGATGGGGCAATGGGAAAGAGATACAATATACAAAATTAAGAACAAAATAACCCACTCCCCTAGTAAATATAACTTGCTGATAGCAGAAGCTTTTTTTTTTTTTTAATATAAGTATATGTAGGTTTAAAGTCCTTAAAATGAGATGTTATGGTAAGAAATTACTGTATTTATATTATATTGTCATTTTATCTCTGGACGCTAGGTTTAAAATAATAGCATGAACAGAAAGGTTCCTGGTTTGGGATTAGTGTTTTATATATAAACACTGCAGTTAATATCTAAAATCCTGAAAGATAAATTGCTATATACAGTATTTAATGTCCATTCAGTGTTTTGGGAATCATCAATTGCTTGTTCTTGTTCAATGTGGGAGTAACATATTGTTCAAGTGCATCATAGACAAGTCCAGTAGCAGATGTTTGTGGTTTATGTCGTTGTCCATACACTTCTCTGTTTAGAACAATATCACATATGTAAATAACAAATCATGATTTTTCCTGATGCATGCAGATCCACCAAAGTTTGATAGGATATGGCCGAATATTTCTTCCCTTGAGGTTTCTAAACCAAATCAAGGTAGGATTCTGTAAAATTCCTACTGGTCGAAAGTTACTTACATTGCTTTAATAAAATCCCACATGTTGGCAAAAAATAATAATAATCCAGCTCCTTTTTCTCTTGGTACTAAGTAATGGTATTGTCAAAACCAATCTATTGAGAATTAGCGTAAATGAAATTTTACATGAAAAAGGCTTTTTTTAATATATAGATTCTGGACTAGAAACACTACTGCAAAAAGTATGGAAAAGAAGCCACCAAAGTTGTAAGCAATTTCATAGATTAAATTTAAAGTGAGTCTCTGGAGAAGCCTGGAATTGTATAGACATCACCGTTTGCTTTATGAGAAAGTTTCAAGACTTTTGAGTGCCAGAGATTTCCATTGTCTACATCAAACCCATTTCTTAATGTCTCTCTTTCACTTTGTTTTCTTACGTGAACTGAATGTTATTCCCATTTGTATTCAGAGCTCAGCTGCATAGTCCAAGACAGTTGGACCATAGTCTCCTGGAATTTATTTTAACAATCTTATTTACAGTATTTTCAGAATTTGGGGTTTCTTCCATTTTTTTTTTTTTTTTTTTTTAGCAGGTCAGGTCACAGAAGAGATGTTTCTAAGTATTCTTCATTGTGCTCTATAAGCTACATTTCCTCTAGCATTGACAGCAATCTCTCTGAAATCCCTAGTGCAATACTTCTGCATCTGAATTCCAATGACATACAAAAAATTACAAGTGACAGACTGTGGCATGATGATTACTGCAGAAAGGGATAGAGTGATTTTTAAGAGTAATAAAATATAAAGTAAAATGCTTTTTCATTTGGATTTGTGTTCATACTAGCTTTTATGCTGCAAATTTTGACAATCAAATGTAAACCCGTTCATTATTTAACATGAAATCCCCTTGCTCTCCCCAACCTCCCCTACACCTTCCCCCCAGAATTGCAGAACTCTGGCCTGCAGCTTGCCATGGTTATGCACAGGATGTTCTTTTTAAACTCTAATGAATACAGATGGAGGAGGAGGAAATGAGCAAGAGGAAGATCCAGGAAATAGCTGTTAAACTAAACAAAATACATTAGCAATTTGTTGGGGAGTTATATTGTAAGGACTACAGTATTAGTCCTTGATCATGGTGATGAAACAGACTGCCCTAGATACACATAGGTTACTAACAAATAGAATCATCTTAATCAGCTAGTCCATGTTATATTTTCCAAGTTTCTGCATGTGTTCCTTAAAGAAGAAAAACAAATTGATTTCTGCTCTACTGCTTTCTTTAAGGATTAGCAGCAACGTTTAGTTTGTTATTCATATGCATTATCAATCAAAACATCCTCAACAAAATGACACTTAGCATTTCTAATGGATTTCATAGTTTAACAAATTATACTGCAAGTGATTAACATCACTTCACAATGCATCTTGAGCAGTACAAGATTATGCATTGTTCCCACACACAAGTTTTTCTTTAGCTTTTACATGTTAGGAGAGAACACAAAGCACAAAAAACTTCAACTATTTTGTGGTTAGATTACTTGTTTGGAGCATATTGTTAAGAGTTTAATATTTATCAGAATTAAGATCCTTGAGTCAAGTATATGAAGTATAATATATGCACATCCTGATTACAGAATGCTGCCTATACCTGTACATTATTTATTATGCTTTTCTTTATAGTACAATTAGAACAACATCTGTACATAAATTTGATCAAAACTATATAGACCATGAGGCATATTGTATAGTCAGTAATTATGGACTTGGGAAGAAACTCCTTAGGTCATGTATAACATCTGAGCCAAAGCCAAATAAGAATGCAGATACGACTATTAAAACCATCTCTCCTTCCTGTTTTAAAACCTTTCATCATTTCCAATACCTTAATCATTGATAGCGTTTCACCCATTTTCACCTCAATATCAACCTTCCCTTTCAGAACAGTAAACAATTAAAAAATACTCACTTATGTTGAATTTTTTAAAGCTAATTAAAAATGTAGTGACTAAAGTAATTCATTTTTAAGCTTTTTTATTTGTTCCTATATGATACCTTTCTAATTTATTGTTCATGTTTTTAAACCTATCCAGTTACTCCCAAATTAGCTTTGTCAACTGTTTCTTCTGTTCAAGTTGCAAACCACAAGAGAGGTAGGAATTCTTGGATTCATACAGTGATTTCCTAGTGTTATGTGTTGTGAGAACATTGCACTGTATGAATCTGGAATATCTGTGAAGTGTACCTATCAGTTTATTGGTGAGGCATGTTTATTGACAGCAATAAAAGCATTAAGTATCACAAACAACATAAGCCATAGCGAAGAACAGAATAAATATGCTTTATAGACAATCTCTGCTTGTATATAAAATAGTGGAGCATTTGTTTTTTGAAAGAATTAAATGTGAGTAAGAATATGGCAGTCCAGGTTGTTGTTTAGAAAACTAACATGTTAGCCTAACGATTATCTTTGTCACTAATTTACATAGACTGTAAATGAGGAAATGTAAATGAATTAGTTGAGGGCCGGCAATATGGAAATGATCTCTTGTTCATATCCTCTAGAATAAAACAAATACCATCTGGTGTAAGGATATGATATTCAAAAAAGTCTCCTATTGCACTGGTAGTATACCATACATCTCCATTGTATGTTAATATAGTACAAACTTTATTTATAGGCATGCATTGGTTTACATATCAACAGATATGATTTTAATATAAACATCGCGGAATTATATTGGCATTTTGAAAGGATAGCAGTATTGCCTTGATGACTTAAAGACAAGCAGTTGTAGCTAAATATCTGTCATTCACAGTCTGAAATCCATCTGAGAACTTTTTCCTCATCATTTGATCTGTCTGGTGTATGTATAAAAGGTGTTCTGTTTTTTCTCATTTATCATTGTCAACAGCTCATTATTCATGAAACATGAGTTACTAAGGCATAGGTTTATTTAACAAAAATCTGAATTAAGTTTGACCCAGTCAATGAAACTGATAATGAACCATACTGTTTGTTATGAAACTGAAGCAGCTTATTTCTAAAGTTATAATGAAAATCTAATTTGCTAGTGTGTAGTGGAGGAAGAGGGAGAGAGATCTGTCAGGAAATGAAAAAATGAGACTTTTTAAAAAATTCTCTCTTCTTGAAAGAGTCTTGTATTCTGTTAATTAAAATAGGGAAGCAACGGGTGTCTTACGCATCACCTAAGGAATGTCTTTTTTCAAAAATTATGATTCTCTTCCATATACCTCTACAGCTGTTCATGTGACAGTTTCACTGGGAATGGTTCAAGCCTGAGCTGGAGCTAGACTCCACAGCACAGGACAGTATCATTTCACACATGTGACTGCATAGCTGCATTTCCTCATAAAGGAATGAGAGGTATTAAAACTAGAAGCGGAGAAGAATAAAATGATTGATGGTTGATATTATTTTATGCATCTCCTTTAAACTGCAATTGTATCTTGATTTTGCAATATTGATAGGATTGTTTTTATAGAAAAGCACCTTTAATGGGTCTTCTCGTTCATCCCTTTGCATTTTGATAAGGGATTTGATAATTCCTGATTCATCCAGAGAGATGGTTATCAAATCTGGTCTTGACTATCTCTGCGCTCCTTTTCTTTGCTTTAAATATACCCACCTATCTTAACCTTTCCTCTGAGATTTTATTTTCCAAACCATTTACCATTTATTGTTACTCAGCTTTAAACTCTCTCCAATTTGTCTGTCTTTTCTGACATGTGGTGCTCAAAACTGAAAGCAGCATATGCCAACATTGTAAGCACTTCTCATATTTTTTTTGTTAGTGCTTTAGCACACTAGCTTTTACCACCTCACCCCCATATCAGTGATTGAATGGCTTTGCCTATGATGGAATTCTGCCTTGGCTGCCAGACAGACCTGTGTGTCTAAGGGCTTGTCTACACTACCGCGGTAGTTCGACGGCTGGCAATCGAACTTCCGGGTTCGATTTATCGCGTCTGGTGTGGACGCGATAATTCGAACCAGGAAGTGCTCGCCGTCGACTGCGGTACTCCACGTCAGCGAGAGGAGTACCGCGGAGTCGACGGGGGAGCCTGCCTGCCGTGTGTGGACCGCGTCTGAACCGCGGTAAATTCGAACTAAGGTATGTCGACTTCAGCTACGTTATTCACGTAGCTGAAGTTGCGTACCTTAGATCGAATTGGGGTGTTAGTGTAGACCAGGCCTTAGAAACTAAAGTTGTATTTCAGCCTATACTAATCAGAGGGTAATAATATCATACTCTGGTCTTTCAGTGTAAGGGTTAGGGTGACTCACTTGTTCCTATGCCAGAAAGGTGAGAAAGCTGCAACAGTGGCAATATGCATTATCTTTAGACCTGGACAGATTAAATGTTTATTGCCAAATATCAGTAAACTTCAATGTCACTGTACATACACATACAAAAAAAATCCATCAACAATAATGGAAATATACAGATAAGCAAAGTCAGAAAAATGCTGCTTAAGAACTTATTAAAGTTTGATGTAACGATATTTACTGTGTATATTTTGACATGTGATTTTGACAATTTGTGTTTTAATGCATATAAAGTTTTAACTTTTGGAATCTCAGTGTCTACTACCATTAAATAGATATTGTCTGACCCTCCTATTGTCTGACACTCATCCCCATAATTTCCAACTGTGAACATTTAAATTGATAAAAAATGAACAATGCTTTGAAATAAACATTGATATTATCCACCAAAAATATCAAAAAACAAAAATAGAATTCTGCCAACCCTGTTTTATCGTCCCAGCTTGTAAGATGTAGCATGCAATTCTAGGTACTATGTTCTACTGGGCTGTGATAACAGGCCTAATATTACCAGTGGAGAAATTACCTGATCCTCATTTACATGAAAACCCCTTTACATCATTGTCACAATGTAAGCCCATTTTAGGGCACCAGAACAGTGTGAAAGAGAATTAGTGTAAATGAAAATCAAGCCCAATGGCTACAGGCCAAGGCAGAACGCTCATTATTGTATTAGCAATTATCTTATTTAATGATAAAGAAGCTGTGGTTATTTCTTTCACTTTCCACCACAGCTTACCCTTAATCAGACACTAGACTGTCTCTGAGGTTAATTTATATCAAGTAACACTATCAGTCTAATGGCCAAGGTTCCCAAATCTTCACCTAACCTTAATGGAGTAAACTATCAGGGTTGGCTACACATACAGCACTGGAACACTTAGTGAAGATTCTATCTACACCGACGGGAGAGTTTCTTCCATTGATGTGGGTATTCCACCTCCCCGAGAGGCGGTAGCTGGGTTGACAGGAGGAGCCTTAACTCACAAAGCTATTTCTCTCATGTAATAGAAGTATCAGGGTCCATGTTAGTGTGGTTAAGTACAAGACACAGTTTCATTTTTTTCTTTAGTACTGATGAAACAAGAACAAGTGCGTGGAGTCACCTACTATGATATGTCTGTCAGAGTGTGTGAAAAAGAGGGAGAGAAAACTGAGTCAGCTATAACTACAGAATGTGCTTCTTTAGTCCAAACTATATTTTGGACCAAGTTCTGTTACAACTATTTAATGAATTTTTATGCAGCTTTGTTTTTCCTAGCTTTGTAAGAGTTTATGATATTATTGTATTGAAAGGTTACATCACAGGGCCATGCGGGTGAGTTTTGGTCATTCATAGCACATTCATTAGCTTCCTCTCTGCTCACTAATAGATGTTAGCAATCGTACCGTCAGATTCCCTACCTCCCCTTTATAATGAACATACTTTCATTACCTAATGATCTGATATTATACAACGGCTGGTTGGAAGTTGGCAAAGCAAGGTAAATTATTTCTTCCAAATCCACCTACAATATGACTTCATTGATTGGCCAGTTGGCTTGATTGTAGGTTCAGTATGTTTGGTGTCCTTATCCCAGAAATTAATTATGCCACTATAGCAGACCACAGAGTCTCTGTCAGATCAGAGAGAAGGGTACAGGACTGCTTCAAAATCTTGTGTTGCTAGCAGGTCATTACAAAAGCTAAGGACAAGCTGATCAGACATCTTAGCCTTATGTGTCATGCTTAGTTACAACAACAAAAAATTGCTAATAAAAGTTTAGGATGACTTTTTTGTGCCCAAGTCATAAATTGGTTTTATAAATAAAGACAGAATTCCAATGCCTGTTATATTTTTTCAATACAATTATAGTGGCTAAAGTGGGCACTACAAGTTAGATGGCTATGGTAACCATTCTTCCTATTCTACACAAACGGAAGAATTTTCCATGATATTTTTGAAATGCGAAAAGTTCTCTCATCGGTATAAAGATAGGTTGGGTATTGACTCAAGATGACAGTTTAACTGGCATTAAAATGGCACTCATCTCTGTTCCTTTCTGTCCTTACAAGTTAATTGTTTTGGGAATGCTGGCCAAAATTTTCAAATTCGGATGCATTATGCATCTCAGTGAAATAGCCTGATTTTCATAGGTATTCAACATCCACAACTTTTATTTACTTAAGCATGAGTTATGCTTATTCAGCATCTCTAAGAATCAGAGTGGTTTATTTTGGTGCTTAACTGTGGATTTAAATGCCTGACTTTGGGCACCCAAGTTTGACAATTTTGTCCTATGTATTTAACATTTTGTAATTTTTTTTAAGTGTAAGAAAGTTTTGCACGTGTTTTGAGTATTTCCATATCAAATGTGCAAAAGATATGCATTTGTAAACCGAGCCTACAAAACCCTTGAAAGGTTTACAACTGCAAATGCGTCATTTCCATCAGATCTACTGAGGAGAAGCAATCTTCAGAGTCATGAATGTCTGATCATTTTAACCTGCCTGAAACAGATGTCATGTTCATGCCAGTCAAACATCTGTTGTTGTCCATGTGTTACACTGACTAACATGTATGTGCTCCCATTCATCTTCTATGCATAGTGCATTTTAACCAAGCATGTAATGTGCTATTACTCTGCTACTGTATACATTTTGTATACATTTCTGTTCTTCCTTGCAAGACTGTGAATGCTTCGGCCACTCCAACCGGTGCAGTTACATCGAGCTGCTAAATACAGTCATTTGCGTGAGCTGTAAACACAACACTAGAGGGCAGCACTGTGAGTTATGCAGGCTGGGCTACTTCAGAAATGC